ACTACTACTACTACTACTACTACTACTACTACTACTACTACTACTACTACTACCACAACCAGTACTACTAATCACGGGTACTACTAATACTGTCCGTGTCTTTGTTGTCCGATATTCCATCTTTTTGCTTTTCAAATATGTATAGTTAAGCCTACTTGGTTTTGATGCATACGGCCAGTGGGTACACTAATCTGCCCGTATAAAGTGGAATAGATTTATTTACGATGTCTTACATTTTTTCTCTGCTAAATGCATGGGTAAAAGTAACAGACACGTCTCCCCATCTGACACCCCCCTCCCCCTCTTCCACCCTGCCTCCTGACCACCCTCCTGACCACCAGTGTCATCTTAAAGCACAAGAGTGTGTACCGTTCAACCAGGAGCAAAAAAACAGGTAGTTGAAAATACAACGGTGAAAATGGAACCCCTCCCCTCACAATGTAGCTCAAGCGCCATTTAAAAACTGGCGAGAAAGACACCCACTCCTCAATTTTAGAAAAAGCCCAACCCTATCAACTCTACATAAATTTTTAGTCTAATCCTGCCCTTCAAAAAGGAATAAACGACACCCCCTCCCCCACAATTCCTCTCTCCTCCACAAAACTCCGCACTCTCCCCACCCTCTCCCCAAGGGCACCGACGTCAAAAATGAAAGTAAAGTAACAATCCAACCTTGTTCCGCAACACTTCTATGATGACAAAACAGAACTCCTGTATATTTATAGCCTATAGTTCCAACATAACTAAAACGAATCTTGTGTTTGTTAGTGGTTTCTTCTTTTGTTTTAAGACGCGAGGGCCGCGAAGAAATAGCTGATCGTTCACTTTTCGCGAAAGAGAAAGGGGAAGTAATACGTACACTTACTCTACGCACGCCCTCAAAACTCTCCCCGATCTACCAACCATCAAAATGTAAGATGGCAACTTTTACTTTAACCCCCTTTCCGCCTGTTTTCACCTTTTTTTTTTATATTTCTGGCGTCTGGGACAAACATTCGACTTCCGCTTGGCCTGATTCGCCTCTGCTGTTGCACCGACGTCTAGTCTCTATGGCAGCCCGTTCTAACATAAACGAAAGTGAGCGCTCGCACTCAGTCATCCTGCTCGCTCCGGGAGAAGGTGTAGCGGAAGGCGGGAAGAGAACAGTGGGAGAGATCGGCGGCAGTGTCTGGAGGAAACTCGAGATATGCCG